AACTGGTACAGAATGTTGCTATAATAGAGCATACCACATTATGCTCTCCTTAATACACAGTATAGTAACTGGTACAGAATGTTGCTATAATAGATGATACCACATTATACTGTCTTTAATACACAGTATAGTAACTGGTACAGAATGTTGCTATAATAGAGGATACTACATTATACTGTCTTTAATACACAGTATAGTAACTGGTACAGAATGTTGCTATAATAGAGATACCACATTATACTTATTAAGACACAGTATAGTAACTGGTACAGAATGTTGCTATAATAGAGGATACCACATTATACTGTCTTTAATACACAGTATAGTAACTGGTACAGAATGTTGCTATAATAGAGATACCACATTATACTGTAATCTAAAAGAAGTGTACTTTTATACTCTTTTTTTTCAACGAATTTCACGGCCGTCGATTATTCTACTGTGGGATTGTTTCACTCGATAAAACAGAAGGTACGCAGTCGCAAAGCAATGTTCACGTTTCTGTTGTGATCAGAATATGTGTATTTTTAATGACAGAATTGACATACATAACCGTGCTTGTGTATGGCAAATGATATGTATATATCATATATTATGTTTGAATTTTTTTAAACGTTTACTTGACTGGTACAATATTATCCAAAACATCTTTAACACTTGACTGGTACAATATTATCCACAACATTTTTAACACTTGACTGGTACAATATTATCCAAAACATCTTTAACACTTGACTGGTACAATATTATCCACAACATTTATAACACTTGACTGGTACAATATTATCCACAACATTTTTAACACTTGACTGGTACAATATTATCCACAACATTGTTAACACTTGACTGGTACAATATTATCCACAACATTGTTAACACTTGACTGGTACAATATTATCCACAACATTGTTAACACTTGACTGGTACAATATTATCCACAACATTTTTAACACTTGACTGGTACAATATTATCCCAAACATCTTTAACACTTGATTGGTACGATACTATCCAAAACATCTTTAACACTTGATTGGTACAATATTACCCAAAACATCTTTAACACTTGATTGGTACGATACGATATAAAACATCTGTAACACTTGACTGATACGATATTATACATTCGGTAAAGTTCGGTCACACATTTCAATCAATATTATGTCACAGCTGAGGGACACTACCACCCAAAAGCCTTCAAGTTGAATAGTACTGCTACTTCTAGCATCTAGGTTATACTTGACAAGAGTTCTATACACGTATTAGTTAATCACACAAAGTGCCAAGCAACCTTTAACTACAATCATCTGGAATATAGCTTCACTTTCAACAGTGGTAACTAAGACAAATACATATCATCACTTTCACGATTCGCTATCACAAAAAAATTCAGTTATAGAAAACATCGTTCCTAAAAAGTCAAATAATTCTATACAGTGTATTGATACTACCTCTGTTACACCAGATGGCTAACTTTAAGACACAGTTTCTATCGCCTCTTCATAGTTGTATATTTTTTCAGTCTGAATGTTTTTTGTTAATGTCGTTATTATACAGTAACATAGTTAAAAGGCATTTCACTAACATTACACACAATTTTAAAAATCATATTTTATTTTGTATGTTGTAGATTAAGTGATGTATAATACTTAACCACAAACAAACTCAGTAATCTGTGTCTTTGAAATATTGTTGTACGATACGCCATGTTGCAAAATTTTGCTGAATTCTTTTTTTTGTTGTTGTTGTTGTTTGGTTTTATCAGTTTGTTTGCTGTTACGCACAAAGTTACACAATTAGGCTATCTATGCTCTTCTCGCAGCAGGCATTGAAACCCGATATTTTGCGTAATAATCCCTCGAACTTACCGCTGATCCACCAGGAAGCCTCTTTATTTGGAATTTGGTATTCGTCGTTGTACTTGAAAATGCGTTTTAAAAGTGTTCTGTAATTTTACAAACAAACAGAAACGTTTAAATTATTCATCTGAAAGTGGGAATTCTTCATTAAAATTATAGAAACAAAATGTCATCCTTTAAGTAGTTTCAAATCATGGCTATTAATGTCTCAAATTTGACACATTTTATTCCTTTTAAATAATACGCCCAGTCTCAAATCTGGGATAACAAGAGAATTACACACGTTTGTTTGTTCCGAGTATTCGCGCACAACTTCACAAGGGTTATCTGCGATAGCCTTCCCTAATTTTGAGCTGATAGCCCAGAGATAAGGCAGCTACTCAACAGCATTCGTTGTCAACCTTTGGGATACTCTTGTTTGATCGAGTAATGGTATTTGAAAATCATGCTCATAGCACATCTATGGTCTGAAAGTGTGCGGAGCGCGTTTTTGCGCCAACGGAACAGAATGGGTGGAGTAGTATGTGACAATACAAAACAGAGCAGAAACTTGCCCCAAAACAGTTAATATGCAAAGTTACTTGTACAAGTTAAAGCAGGACAGTTTAAAAATGAATCTATTGAGTCAACCATGACACGTACAGTATTCCACCTCTGGGAAGCACGCAGCCAGTAATTCTTCAGCTCTGAGTCAACATGACACGTACAGTATTCCACCTCTGGGAAGCACGCAGCCAGTAATTCTTCAGCTCTGAGTCAACATGACACGTACAGTATTCCATGCAGCCAGTAATTCTTCAGTTCTGAGTCAACATGACACGTACAGTATTCCACCTCTGGGAAGCCAGTAATTCTTCAGCTCTCTTGCAAGTACTGTCATATGAAGAATCCAATTCTGTTCGTTAACCCCAAAACGGAAAAGAACTGGAGGAGATAAAATTATTTTCTTTTTTTGGTAGAATGTAGATGGAAATAATTTTTACTAGTCTGCCTGAGGTCATAGTGTTATTCTAACACACCTATATAGATTCTCGCTAAGACAATAATCATCGGGAACTGTAAAGACAACCTGCAAAATTTCTGTCACGATTACAGATATCTCGAAGGACAGATATCAGAACTATAAAAATAAAAGCCTACTTGTAAGTGTCAGGTAGCAAAATACTCGACGTCAACCAGTGGATACGATCACGATGGGATACCAGTTTTCTCTACAGAAAACAAGCAGTAAAAAAGATCAGAGAAGAAATTCCGTTGGTGCTAATAAAAATGTGAAACAGTAAAATAGAAACATCCTATTTACAGAACAGATATGTTTACAGAATCGTCGAAAGACAAGGACAACCATGACCAGAGAGGTGAGAGTGATTAACTTTGGAGAGATAGAAAACCCCTACGACAACTGTTTTCGTAGCAAAGCCAGAGCAATAGTTTCTTCAGATCAAGCCTTGCAGATAACAATACAACTTTTCCGGAATTGCGGATCTCGTTTGGACCCTACTTTGTTGCAAAAATTACACAAATGGTCCGGTTGACTCAGAAATTCATTGATCAAAACAAACGTAAAATGTAAACATGGGAATCACCTGATAATAAAGAAAGATGAATTTTTACCGCTTTATGTTTGAATACTGGAGTCCCCCGTGGACAGTTCTTTGTCGAATACTTCGCTATAGGAACTGAAAGCTCTTAATAAATCAACATTTAAACACGGTGAAAAGTCTTACCACATCGATTAATTATTCACTAGCCCACGATACGAGTTACAAACAACCATTGAGGATGTCTTCCAAAAAAATCTTCCTCCATTCATGAGGCAAGCTATTCATACGCATCCCAGAACTAGCAGGAGAAAAGATGCAGGAGAAAAAAGTTTGAAACGAACAATACCAGTTACCAGAACTATATTTCATTGCAAAGAATCAGTTGTATAACTGTTGAGAAGCTTAAAATTATAACTCTTTTTTTCTTTTCTGCTTTCCCCCTTTTGCCTGTGACAACGAATTTCCATGCACTCACAATTATTTTCTCCACATATGTGTGTGTATATAATGTATTTAGAATCATATTGCCATGTTTTGGATGCTTCATTCAGTTTTTGAGAAATCCATTTTCATACGCGAGAGCCGTCTCATAATTGTATGTATACGCCCTTACATAGGCCATGTGATAGCTGCCTGTTTGAAACAACAAATTGGATTTAATTAAATAATTTCTTGGCTTAATATAAGCTGGGTTGGAATTATCACCAATATAGCCCCCACCCCAATGCATCCTGCCCTGGTAGCGAATCTAATCATATGAAATCATTCCAATATATATTTGAAAGAAAATGTTTAAACATGAGCTCAGAAGTTTAAAGTTATAAAAAAGCGACTTCTTGTGGAATTGTTCACACAGATCTCGTCCTCTTTCATAATCGCAAACAGTCAACAGTTTGTAACATAAAAAATAAAACCTTTCTTTCTAAGATATGCATGTAGTTCAGAAAATGATTCTCAACCTTATTGTTGTTGGCATATATTATTATTGTCAGCTACTCTCTTTCACAAAAATCCTGCAAACGTCGCCCTAAACTGTTTAATATAAACTACTTTCTAATGACCCATAAAAACGAGCATTATTTGTTTTTCTGGGTAGGTTAATTTCACTTTTTTATACCTTGAATGACATTTAATAAAATCAAAGTACTGAAAACAAAGTTACAGTTTTCATATTGTCAATTCCAAACCTGGAAATGAAACGTATTTTGATCATACCTTAATTGAATCATAATACTGAAAACAAAGTTACAGTTTTCATATTCCAAACCTCGAAATGAAACGTATTTTGATCATACCTTAATTGAATCATAGCAGGCTGTAATTCGGCCGTTCTGGACTTCTACGTTAACGGGCGGATGGGCAAATTTACATTCTGTATCGGGTCGAGTGCATTTATTCCTCTGGTACTCTCTACACACTTCAAGCTGTAGCCAGCGAGAATCTTTCATGGCCATCATCAGTAGCTAGTTCGAAAATTATAAAAAATACAAATAAACAATCTGGTCGGTCGAGGACAAGAATGTCTTTACTAGGCTGACTGGCAACTTTTGGCAGGTAACGAAGAAGGAGAAGACGCAGGCTTGTTTTTGTGAGGTTTATTTAACCTTGTTATATTATCCGCAAATACTTGATTCCACGATCCATACAGTGCAATACGTCCACATTTATTATACACATACACACTAGAGTTCGATAATAGGAAAGTCACGTTCGAGGTTTTACCACTGAAATGTCCACTTCTGGCAAAAATCACAGATATGTTAACTAAAGAAAAAAGTCAGAATGAATTATATATATATATATAATAAGCAAAATTTTGGAATTAACTGTGACCGAACGCTGACGGAGTAACACTGCTACTTGTGAAATTAGGCGTTGTAACTCCTGATTAATGTTTTTGAGTCTGTTTTTCTCGGGACTGGGCGGCTGTTGGGACAGAATGGGCGAAGGTGGACGGGCAGCAAAGAATTTGTCCCTGAAGAAGTGACAAGTCCTAAAAACACAGAAAAAAAGAGCCTTCATTAATTTCTATATAACAGGAAATATGATAAAATATTCGGATGTTCAGTTCATGTTAAAAAACCATTTCTGCGCAAGAAATGGTATATATAAATGAAACGTATTTTATCTGCTATAATTTACTTCTATAGTAGAAACATATCACTATATTTACTTTACTTGCCTTTTGTTCTGTATACACATTTTACTATTGTTAATCGTTGCCCTGCCAACTACACCCACTTTCTACTAAAAAAAGCCGGCATGGCCAGGTGGTTATGGCG